GTCTGAGGGGCACGGGGAGCCCCGGAGCCATGGCGGGACAGTGCCAGAGCTGCCGGCGCGTTCTGCCCCTGGAGGCCCGGGCTGCTCCTCGGCACCGGCGAAAGGGAAGCACTGAGCTGTGCTCCTGGCCGGCTCCGATGGGCAGTAAGCGCTGCCTGCAGTCCCGTTTGGGAGCACGAGCGTGCTCCGACCACCGGGTGCTGCGGGAAAAGTTTGCCGGGCTCGGATGTCCCGGCAGCCCGGGGCGGTGCCGCCGTCCCCGGGGCACCGGCGCGCACGGGAGGTGCCCACCCTGCAGGCGCCTGTGTCCCTACGGCCTTGGGAAGGTAAAACTCGGGTCCAAGTCACTTCTCTGCTCCCATCTGATGGAAGTTTCCAGGCTATAGGTTGAGAATTGAGGTATTTTGAGGCATCCAGCTCAGAGGAATTGGGTTCTCAGAAATAAATGTTGTATTTTTAAAATATTTCCTTACTTCCTTAAGGACAAGGAACAGCAAAGAACGAAGCTATGCAGGTGTGATGTGAAAAACACCCTGTATTATCTAGCAGCAATATGAAATCTAAGACTATCTGGAGCTCTGATAACATGTTTATGTACATTTTATCTTGAAGTTCAGGACTGGATGTATGGTTCATTGGTAAAGAAATCCTAACTATGTTCAAGGCCAAAGTTATCAATGCATGTCTTGAGACGCTAGAAATATGGGCCTTACTTTTGTGTTATCTGTTATTCTCTTAGTTTCCTTAAGGTAAAGGAATGATAAAACTATCAAGCTACCTTGTTCTGTATGAGTAATCTGTTTTCTATATTCTTTACATATTGATACAGATATTTATTGGTTACTTATGGTCAGGAAGATTTGCTGACCTTTGCCAGTGGGAATTCCTAATTTATTTCTTACTTCTGCTCCTTCTTGCCTGATATTTCCTGATTATTTCATCTATCACTATATCTAATGCTAAGTTGGCCTTGTAGCAATGACTCCTACTCATAATTATTGAGCACAAACCAATATTGATTGAAGTTAATTCTACTTTTACTTTATGGAGTCTAAGATCTCCTGAATGATTTAGATGATAAAGCTGTTCTGAACAATGACCATCAACAGTTACTGGTAATATGTATAAAGTTCTGTGTAAGCCATTAGGTAAGTCCCTCTAGGCTGGTAGTAGCTGATTGCCAACAGTAGCAGATTTGGGGTGCTCATCCTACACTCCAGCTGAGTATCTCCTAGTAGGCAGCCCTGGCTCCACATGTGATGTGGAAATAGTTTGTGTATCACCAGTGCTACAAAAGTCACAGCTTGGGAGGCTCTGCTGTAGTAAATGCATTTTGTCTGTATTACAAATACAGGTGTCAATGGTTGGAGACTGTAAGTAAATGCACCTGGTATCTGTGCAGCATGCAATTTTCAACTTGAAAGGAAACATGCCTGGTGAAGAATAGTATTGTTTTGTTGTTCAAGTAACATCTGATACTGCTGGAAGTATATCAGCCACACCAGCATGCACAACATGAGAAAATTCCACTCCAGAGGTGCTGTTCAACAGAACCAGGATTTTAAACTAGTTTCCTGCTTCAGTATTCCCTGGAGCCAGGTGAGATCTCAGTCTAGTATGGCTTCTTTGGTGGGTTTTGATTTTTCAATGTCTTATGCACACAAAAACATTGAAACTGAGGAAAAATCCCAAGGGAATATCTGTGCTGAAGTAGTTGTGTAAACCCAGAACAAGGATCTCTCTGACTCTTAATACTCCCCAGACATGTTAATATGTTTAGAGGACTGAGGTTAGGATCCTGCAGGGGTTGGAAGCCAGAAGTTACTAAGAGATGGGAAGGTTCCAGCCATCTGTGCATGAGGTAAGAGATTTTGCTTGGCATCTTTGTCTTAAGAAATGGAGATTTAATAATTTTGTTTCCATCAGTGGCATGTTCTCTTGATTACTCATACACTTTAACTACTCAGACTGACCCTATATATTGTTCTCTGTTTATGAAAGTAGAAAAGTTATGAAAGCTTCTTTGTACGGCAGAGAGGCACAAATACTAAGGGTTAGGAGACTGGGGTTATTTAGGGGTCAGTGCATTTCACAATGAAATTTAACTGCTGAAACAGAATAATTTTTTATTGGAATTTTTGGGGTATACCATTTCATTAACTACTTGGAAGGATAAGTTCCTTAAACTAGCTTAATTTTCTTAATGCAACAACCTGTATCTTAATTAGAATCGCACGGTTAGTATTTCATTAATTTTATATGCAGTGGTGTCTTTCCCTTGGAGATAGTACATTAATCATGGGCAGGACAGCTTGACTAACTTGATTATAAAATTTCTCTTGATTAAACTTCACAACTGAAGTTTATCAGTATTTTGTTTTGATCTCTCAAGTATAGTCTTTTTCACAAAGTCTAATTTAGTTGGTTGATAGAAGATGTATCGGAGCAAGATACTCATTGTCTTGGCCAGTAACTGAAGCACAATCTAAAGCAAGAAAAAAATATGAATTCTTACAGTTAAAATGTTATAGCTTTATAACTGAACTGTCAGAACTTAATTGAAAATCCTTCTAGATGGCAGAGTAAAAATGTTATGCCATCTCTCACTCCATCCTAGAATATCAAGTTGTAGTTCAAAATCCCTTTTGGCTGAGGTTTGCTATATCCTGGGCAATGTTTACTGTTGTAGTGCAGATGCAGTTTATTGCAGAAAAAAACTCACACTTGCTGGAACAGTTTATGGTGGATATCTGAGTGAAATAAACTATCCCAGGAAAAAAAATTTCACCACTCTAATATTGGCTATACAGAAATATTTACTAGTATAGAAATTTAGCATCAAAAGTAAAAGCCTCTCTGGCAAAATTGGCTCATATTGGGACATAACCAGAAAGCCTAACTTTGCCCTTCTAATTACCGTGTGCAGAAGTAACCACCCTTATGGTATCCACCCTCTTCAGGAGGGACCTTGAGGGGGAAATTATTTTGGCACCTGTTGCAGGTAGAGGCAAGTAGAATTTCAAATCATGTTGGACGAAAAAGGGCTACACAACTAGCTCATATATATATGTGTGAATATATATAAACACAGATGCACACACACACATAGGTACAAAATTATTCACAGTAATGTTTAATCAAAACATTACATTGGATTATGTACAAAATTTATATATAATAAAGATATAATAATGAAATTACTGTAAATGTTATGTTTACAATTACAAGTCCAAATCTCTTACATGATAAAGAATTTGAGCAATTCAAGGACTGTAGAGAAGGAACTTCTGAGTTACAGGCAATGCTCAAAAGCACATTTTCTTTTATGTGAAATATAATGATGGTATTGTAACAGACATTATGAATAATTTCACATAAGTTAGGGTTTATATTACAATGAAAAATACATTGTGAAAAGGAAAAACAAGAAAAAATAACTACTTTTAAAGTCATATGAAGTTACTCTAGGGAAATAATCATAAATAAGGAGAATTAAAATAAAGAATTATAAAATTAGGTAAGTCAGCTTCCTTGTGATTCCTTGTAGATATTCAGAATGATGACCATTCTTTTCCTTGCCTCTATAAAACTTTTTTTTAGCTTTATCATACAAGCATCATACATATACAGGACTAGACGGGGATTCAATAAATCACATTGTCCAAACCACTACATTCAGTGAGGGTCTTTCATAATTGGAGTATTATTGTAACTGTCAGCATCCCATGCAGGCTGCTCTGTGCTACGTGGAGCTGCTTTCAGCTGCCAAGCTACTGCTGTGGCACTAATGAAACTGCTGGGTTCCCAGGCTGAGGTCAGTACCCTGCTACTGCCCTCCTGAAATGTGTCTGAAACCTCTTCTTCATCCACAGCTCCCAGGAGGGAGAGAGAAAGGAAATCCACGTTGCTTTTAACAGCTGCACTGAATAGAGAGAGTTATAAACAAATGAAAATAAAGAATGAGGGCAAGTGGCTGAAGCCATGACAGTCACTTTTTGGTGTGGCAACAGATAAGCAGTGCTCTGAGTGACAAAATGTCAGTCTGACTATGTAGATGTGATGATGATGTCAAAAGAGTCTCATTTGAATTGGGATTCAGGAGGATCCTCTATTTAAACCCTGTCTGAACTACTGACAGGCTGCATGACCTTTTACAATATATGGAAATCCATGGGTCAAATTGGTCTTTGCTGCAACTAAATTGACTACAATGGAATTATTCTGTGACTGAACTTGATTTCTCAGACATCAGTCAACACAGCTGGTTCACTGAATAAATGAAAGAAAGCAATAATAGATGTCAATGGAAAACAGATGCATCTGAACTGTGTCTTTTAGTCTTGGCAAAACTGGAGCAGAAATGCAAAACTGTTACTTAAAATACGTAAGTAATTGCTGATAGTGGGTTCTTGATAATGTAAACTCTCTGAAGGTAACAAAGGTAAGATAGTGCCATTATCTTTTCTAAAGAGAATGTAAATATCACATATGTTATTTAAAACTTGGAAAATTATGGATGCTTCTCTAAGTATTCTAGTATAGATTGCCTTTTTCTAAAAAAAAATTAATAATGACAAATGGCTCAGATATTTATGCTGAGTCATTTACATTACAATGCTACATGCT